TCTAAAGGACGCTCCTGTCCCTGGGGAAGGGCATTGCAGAGACAGCCAGCGTGCCCTGCACCCCGTTCCCACAGGCCCCCCGCTCCCGCTCCCGCCACTCCGTCATGCTGCCTCTCGAGCCCCTGCCCGGGCTTGCTGGGTGGCCGCCTCTGGCCGCCCAAGACCGCTAGAGGGGAAGGAAGGGCCAGGGAAAGACACCTCGGGGGCGTTCCCCTGTGCGCCACCAGGTGGCGCCATTGGCACAGGACAATCCGGGGCTGTCCCGTGTGGCCGGTGGGGACAGGGGTGGTACCATTAGTTCAAGACCAAGGCTCGGGTGCCTGCCACCTGAGGACCTCCAATGATTGGCCTCCTGGTCGGTGCTTCTCTCTCCCAGAGACACAGTCCTACCAAGGGGCTGAGCCTAACAAGGCCTTGGCACATGGTGATCATGGATAAATACCGAAAAATGATGCCATCTTTATTTTTGTTGTTTTTTTCTCCCCCCAGATCTTAAGGATTCTTTTCCGTGTGGCAGGGGTCGAGGAGGGGGCACCGCCTGCTTGCCGCCTTCCCCCAACAGAACTAGCAGAGAGAGTCTTGTCTAACTCTGGGGTTGTGTCTATCAGGAAGACCCTGGTCTCTGCTCCCAGGTGGGCCTCTGATCCCATCTGTGACCAGGAGCAGGTCATCTGCACGGTTTTTTTCTGTCACTAAATCTGTACGATGAGAGTTATCATACCAGCCCTGCTGGGAGAATCAAGTGAATCTTGCAAGAGAACATAATGATTAAAAGCGCAATCACAGGAGCTCACCTCCTTGTTCCACTGCCTAGTTGCTCTGTGGCCTTGGGCAAATGGCTTGCACCCTCTGATCTTCAGTTTCTTCATCTCTAAAATAGGGGCAATAATAGTACCTATCTACATGAGGTTTTTGCGAGGCCTGAAGTAGTCAATACATGAAAAGCCTTTAGAACCGTGTCTGGCATAAAACAAATACCTAATAAACAGGCAAAAATTCTGGCTTGAACCGGGAAGGCACTTTGGAGATGGGCCCAGTCAAACTTACAAGCAGGGCAGGAATCTCTGAGCAGCCTGCAGGGAGAATGGCCTCCAGGTGGGTTTGCACACCTCTAGTGACAGAGAGCTCATTTTCTCTGAAAAAGGAGCCCGGTCTACTGTGGGCCAGCCCAGCTTAGGATTAGAAGGGTCCCCCCAACAGAGTCACAGCCGGTTCTCAGGCTGAATCGTGCCCCTGGCTTAGGGGTCAGCTCTACTACTGGGAGTAAGCTCACTGCCCCCTCCCCTCCCTAACTCCCCCCACCCCTCCCCCCCCACCCCCAAATGCGGCTACATGGCTACCCCGTGCAGAAAGGGGGATGGGTGGTGCAGGGAGGGGAGGGAGGCAGCCCTCTCCGGGTGTGTCGGGGGGGGGTGCTCGATGCAGTGGACGCTGTCCATCTTGAGCACCAGGCCAGTGCAGAGGGTTGTTTTGAGTGGGGCCTCCAACTGGTGGGCTCTTTCTGGTGCTGGAGTCTGTGGGGAGAAAAGAAATGACCTCCTGCAGCTGAGGAAGGGAACACAGAGAAGACAGGCAGCTCCTGAGCAGGGGCACCAAAGCGGCCAGGCCAGGGGCCTCATGGTCACTTGCTCGCTCACCTTTGCTCACTCAGGGCAGCTGGAATTCCTGTCTGGGGGTTCTGTTTTCTTCTCTAGATGGGGAGCAACTTGAGGGCAAAACTATGACTTACGTTCTGTGCTTCCACTGCCTGGTACACAGTGGGCCCTTAATAAATGTGCATGGGAACTAAACCGAAAACAGAAACCAGTAATTTTGGTCCAGTTTGGAAAGCTGTAGTCTTTGTGTGGATAAGGCACCTCTGGCCTGCTGGGGACATCTGCACTCTCCCATTTCCTCCTCCTTCAGGGCTGCCCCCTCCTCCATGAAGCCCTCCTCGGCACTCCCTCCTCCCTTCGCCCTGAGTAAATAATCCCTTCCTGTGCCCCCTCTTGGCTCTGTACATACTACTGCTATAAGGCAGGCTGGAAGAGTGGATAGGACCCCAGAGCCTGGGGTTATCCTCAGAGTCACTTCCTCTGGACACATTCCTTAGCTTTGTGACCTTAGGCAAATTATATTTTTTTTATTTTTAAAAAAGATTGGGGCACCTGGGTGGCTCAGTCGTTAAGCGTCTGCCTTCGGCTCAGGTCATGGTCTCAGGGTCCTGGGATCGAGCCCCGCATCGGGCTCCCCGCTCGGCGGGAAGCCTGTTTCTCCCTCTCCCACTCCCCCTGCTTGTGTTCCCTCGCTCGCTGTGTCTCTCTCCGTCAAATAAATAAATAAAATCTTTAAAAAAAAAAAAGCTTTATTTATTTGCGCGGGAGAGAACAAGTGGGAGGGGCAGAGGGAGAGAGAATCTTAGGCAGGCTCCACGCCCAGCGAGGAGCCCGACATGGGGCTCCATCCCACGACCCGGAGATCGTGACCTGAGCCGGAACCAAGAGTTGGAAGCTTAACTGACCGCGCCACCCAGGCGCCCCAGGCAAATTTTATTTTAACCTCCCTGTGCCTCGGCGTCGTCATCGGTAAAATGGAATTGGTTTATCCAATCCTGTGGGATTGCAGTGAGGATTAAGTTGATTTGTAGATTCGGAGTGTCTCGAATAGTGTCTGGTGTTTAGTAACTGCTCTGAATTGCTGTTATTGCTTAGTTGTGCTGGGATGATTGCTCCTCACCCAGATGTGGGCTCCTCGAAGCTTGGGTCTCTCACTTGTGCATCCTCCCACTGAGGCCAGTGCCCAGGGCGGGATAGGCGCTCAGCAAAACGTGAGGGGACAGATGGACACTCGGACAGATAAGTCTGGACAAACAGGAGTCCTGAAGTGCGCCGTCCCCTAGGGACCTCACCCGCAGACTCGGCTGTGGAGGCCCACTGGGGGTGCCACCAGAGCCCACGTCCCCTGCCCCTCCCACCCCTGCTTACCCGAAACCCCCACCAGGAGCTCGGGGGAGGAAAAGCCATCAGATCCAAGTCCAGCAGCTTGCCAGCTCAGCATCCACGGGGGTGAGAGCAGGTGGAAAGTGTTGGTGAAAATGAGGTTTCACAATGCGCTGTGGTTTCATTTCCATCACCTGGTTCCTGAGGGCCTGACAGGCCAGCCCGGGCCCCCTGGCTCCCTGCCCAAAGCCCGTCCCTGCCTCTCACCAGGAACACCCATCCCACTGCAGCCTGTTGGGATCCTGCCGTGTGCCAGGCTCCATGGTAGGCGCCACCTTCACAGGAAGCCTGGGAGGAAGGCATTTTACCCCACCTGAAGCTTGTCCATCCGTCCATCCATCCATCCATACACCAATATTTATTGAGCACGTACTAAGGTGCCTGCGCTGTGCCAAGCCCGGGGGGAGTCAGAGGCGAAGGTGACAGAGGCGGCCCCAGACGGGCCAGAGACCATACGCAAGACCCACATCCAGAAGTTGCAAAGCTCCCAGGGCTCCGGCGTGCAGATCTGGGCTGCCCTGGGGTGCAGATCGTGGGCTGGCACTGTTGAGGGGCTGAGGGCTTTGTGTGTGGAGGAAGCAGAGGGGCACCTGCGCGGACGGGAGCGGGGGCAGAGCCCGTGTCCGTGTTCTGAGGCAGCTTGGTGCTCAGCCGCCTCCCAGTGCCAAGTCATAAAGAGCCTCCTAGAGGCACAGACCGATGCCTTTAGAACGCTCCCTCCGTGCACAGGGACATTAACGTGACGTCTATCACCATGGCATCGAGGTGCTTAGACAACCTGCTCCCCCCGGAGGTCGGAAACAGCGTGAAGCAGATTATCTGTGTCTCACTGTGACATATGCGATCATGTATCACTGTGATGGATCAACAGTCAATACCACTGGGGTCCCCGCCACCCCCCAGCCAGTAGGAAGTGGCTGGCGTCTATACGTTTTCCTCACCTGGTGGGCAGCCCTGTTCCTCCTTGCCGCCCTCCTGGTGCTGCTGGTGGGGGGGTGGGGGACATCTCCTGGCTTTCAGCGTGCATGTGCAGAGCGGCTGAGGGGAAAGCATTTGGAAGAAGGACCGAAACTGGACCCCTTCTGTGTCTTCGTGGGGTTTGCATGGAGTGGGGACAGAGGCGCAGGCTTCACACCGCTGGGCATTGAATCCTGGCCCCACGTACCTGCCCCGATCTCAAGCAAGGTGCTTTGCCTCTTGGGGGCGTAGTTCTCTCTTTTGTAAAATTGGGAATAATCACATTTGCCTTGAGGGTTAATGGGCACTCATGGGGAAAGGAGGTGAAGTGCGAATGCGTGCCAACACTCACCACATTTCCCCAGCCTCCTCCGCTTGCCCGAGTGCTGGGGTCCTCCCCTCCACCCCCAGACTCCTGCCCTCTACCTCCCTGGGCCTGCAGGCAGACCTCTACCCCCCTACCTCATCCGGCTCGGCCTAGGGCTGGGCTCCAGAAGGCCAACGGTAAAAAACCCCGGTCTGCTGGGGAAGGGGGTGCCGGGCTCCTGCCCTCACCCTAGCTGCCTGCCCCTTCTCCCTCACGCACCTGCCCCCAGCCGCTCCCCCCAACCGCCACCGCCCCCTGGAAACCCTGCGCTGGGATGAGCACATGAATCCAGGGGTCCCTGGACGATGTCTGACGGGAAATCTGTGAGCACAGTTTTAAAAGTTTCAGCTCTGAGCAGCTAAATGAAACCCCAGAGTTACTCATGGGAATTCTGTGTCCCCTCTGTCACCAATGTCTACTGGTTGGGCCACCAGCTCAAAGGGGACCGAGGAGGGGAGCAGCACCCCAACACGGGGTGGACGGGGAGGCCCCGCCGGGAGGGGTGCACGGCCCAGATTCCTCACCCCGGGGCTGTTCCCACTCCTTGCTCAGAAAGTCCAGGGTTACTAAGGGGAGCAGACCCAGTGAGGCCCTGAGGAAGCAGAAGGGTGGCCAGGGAGGAGCTTTGTGGGAACTCAAAGGGGAACTGTGGAGGCCAGCAGGCCGCCACCTCCTGTGAACTTGAGACAAAAGAGGAAGACTGTGAGGGAGGCCCCGAAGGAGAGCCGGCCTCCATGGCGGACACGTTCTCGGGCCCCTGGCTCCTGGGCTTGCTCCTGCTTCCCTGGACGCTGCCGCTCACAGGTACGCTGCCTTCCTTCTTCCCACGAGCCCTCTGGCCGGCACATCAGGGCGGCTTTCATCCGCCCGTGCAGCTAAGTCCTGGGCACCTGTCTCGGGAGGTGTGCTGGTTGCGTCTGAACATTGCAGACTTCACAGGGAGAGCCTCCGGGGATCGGGGACATGGTTTGCTGATGCCTCGCCCAGGTGGCCCCCACCTCGCTGCTGCTGTGTTAGCAGACTTCCACCGCCAGCCTGACCGCTGGCCCTCAGCCACGGCGGGTGGGCGTCCCTGCAGCCAAGGGCAGGCGGGGTCGGTGTGGGGTCAGTGGGGAGCTCACCCCCACGGAATCTGCATCTGCTAAGCGGCAGGGCTGGCCTCGGCCTTGTTGCCCACGTTAGCCGGGGAGACCCGGGCGGACGAGGGCTGGCCCCCAGGAACACTGTGCCCTGGGACGCAAAATCGTCACTATTGCCAGAGAGGGTGGTACTCCCCACTTCCTGGCGTGCAACCAGAGGCCACCTTGCAACAGGAGCTGATGCCTTCCCTGGGCCAACGCCATGCCCCCGTTTCTGGTCCCAGGTCCCCTCAGAAATGGGGTGGCCTGGATCCAAGCCAGGCCTCGGGCTGTGTGGCCTTGGGGCACGTTTGTCCAGACCAGGGAACCCCCAGGAGTGTGTCTCTCTGGGGCTGCCCACGAGGGGGTCCCTCCAGCTCAGTCTCTCCCAGGGCAGCCCTGGGCCCTCTGGGATTCCCAGGCCCACCCACCCCACCCACCCACCCCCGCCACTGTGCAGCCTGGATGCTTTGCTTCCTATTCACCCAGACTTTTCTGAGGCTGCTGGGGGGCTGCCCCCCACTTCTGCTTCATCCTCTGCCTTTCGTTTAGACTGTAAACAACAAGGCTCTTCTTACTGTCATGAATTAGCCTCTTTGAGCACTTACTCTGGGCTTTACTCTCACCCTCAGACCCCCTCCAGCCACCCTTGGGGTGCAGTCACTAACAGCACCACTTAAGAACAGGGAAACTGAGGCCCAGGGAGGCCAGGTAGCTTGCCCAAGACCTAGAGGGTGAGTGGAGGTCGGGTTTAGTCCCAAGTCTACCTGAACCCCAGGCCAGGATCTTTGGCAGTGGGCCCCAGGGCTCCTCTCAGCTTTTTTTTTCTTTTTTTTTTTTTAAGATTTTATTTATTTTTGAGAAAGAAAGAGAGAGTGCACATGCACGAATGCACATGAGTCGGGGGAGGGGCAGAGGGAGAAGCAGGCTCCCCACTGAGCAGGGAGCCTGATGCGTGTCTCCATTCCAGGACCCCGGGATCATGACCCGAGCCGAAGGCAGATGCTTAACCTACTGAGCCACCCAGGTGCCTTCTTTGTAAAGAATATTCCTCATAGAAAGTGTCACTCCCCTCCCCCAAGGGGACAACAGCTGGCTGTGGTACCGGCTGCAGGCTTCCTGGGCTGGGCCCCTTGTGACATCATTCCCTTTCATCTTGCACACCTTGTGCCCCCTCCTGCACCCCCCCGCCCCCGTGGCCGGTGCAGAGATGGCCCCGAGGAAATGCAGTTTGTTAGTGACAGTGCATCAGACTCGGTCATTTCTAACTTAATATCCCTAAATTCTCATCATTTCTTTTTGTGTGGCCCCTTCTCCCCAGAAGGGACCCAGCACAGCTGGGTAACAGTGGACGACACTTTGCGGATGCTGCGGTGGGAAGCGCTTTTGTAACTGTCTCAACTATAAACATACAGTGGATTCCCCACCCCACCCCCAGCATTGCAGCAAAGGTTGTACAAAAGAGAAACTCTGCTCTTTCACAAGAGGTGAAAAACCCTCGTGGTCCCCGAGAACAGTCTGGAGCAGCAGACAACACGGTCACTCCTGGTCCTGCCCTGAGGGTGCCTGGCTCCCTCTGTCTGTCATCAAAGTCCAGCCCAGGGACAGAGCACCGTTTCTCTGAGCCTCGGTGTGACGCAGGACTGAGTACATACACCAGGGCGTTCAGCCTGACTTTCCTTCCGTCTGAGCTCTGCGATTCACCCCAGGACCCTGGGCAGTTTCCTAATGTCTCTGTGCCTCAAGTGCCTCATCTGTTAAATGGGTGCGATAGTAGTACCTGCCTGGTGTCACAGCCTGAGACTAAGTGGTTGGGGCACGTGGTCGGGGCTCAGAGAACGCCAGCTGCCTGCCCGTCTAGCAGAGCCAATCCAAACTCAAGATTCCGTTGGCCAGGTGGATATCTTAGCCAGCGCACAGGTTCCTTGGGGTCTCTCTGACCTTGCCAGTGGCCACTGGCACATTATGGTTTGGTGTCTCAGGACCTCTCTTGCTCCCAGCCCTTCTCCTCCTGTCGTGAGCCGGGACTCAGCCCTACTGTCCTCCAGTCTTTTGAGCTCTCTGCAAATTCCACTTTTCTCAAAGGGTCTGGGAGCCACTTGTGGTCTCATGGGCAACTGCTCTCCCCCAGAGGTGAGTCATGCAAACCCGAGACTCAGCTTTCCTGGGAGCAGCTGTACATCTGCTCAAGACTTGCTTCCACCAGGCTTCGGTCACCTGCGAGGGCTTTGGGGCCAGGCAGAGCCCAGGTTCAAGTTCTACCTTCTTCCATTGACAGCTGTGTGACCTTTGACAAATTACTTAACCTCGGGCGCCTGGGTGGCTCAGTTGGTTAAGCGACTGCCTTCGGCTCAGGTCATGATCCCAGAGTCCTGGGATCGAGTCCCACATCGGGCTCCCGGCTCAGCGGGGAGCCTGCTTCTCCCTCTGACCCTATCCCCTCTCATACTGTTTCTCTCTCTCTCTCTCTCTCTCAAATAAACAAATAAATAAAATCTTTAAAAAAAATTACTTAACCTTTCTGAGCCTCTGTGTCCTCAACAAATGTCAGTCCCCTTTCCCTTCTTGGCCTTTCCAGAACTCTGGGCTCTATTTATTTCTCAAATATCCATGGAGGAGGACCAGTTCTGGGCACGGGGGCAGGGGGAGACCTGGAGGTGAACAACCCCGACTCTCAGCCTGGTGGAAACGCTGAGACTTGCCCAGAGAACGTGACAGAACATGACCCAAGGAGAGAGTTACCGATGCAGGTTTGCTCCCCTCCCCCTTTGCTCTGGACTCAGGTGTCACCGCTCCCTTTGTTGTCCAAAAGATGTTCAGGAGCCTCCTGCCTTCTTTCCTGCAGCTCCGAGCCTCTGTGGGGATTGGCCTCTGCTTTTCATCTTTGTCTAATCCCAATAAAGAGCTTTCGAGGCAGGCGGAGAGAAGCACCTCTCTGCTGGAGGTGGGGCAGGGGGAGTGTTGGTGGGGGCAAGGGAGCCCCGAGGGGGAGGAGACAGAGCATGTGGGTGGGTGACAGGCACAGCGGGAAAAAAGACTGAGAGGCCAGAAGGCAGAGACGGGGAGGGGACAGAGAGAGGTTCAGTCTGACTGGAGGGGAGGGTCTCTTGTCCGAGCAGTGGGATCTGAATCCCACTGGGCTCTATTCCAGGAGGATTATAAATGCCTGTCAGGTAGGGGTTCAGATGCTCTTCCAGTTGGCCCTATTATCATTGCTTTCTCTTTTTAAGTTATGAGCTCTAATACCTATACAGAGAAGTACAATAAACATAAAACAAAGTCCTGTGTGACCACCATCCAGAGAACACCGTGGGGCACCAGAGCCCGTGGTCCCCCGGCCGCCACCTAGACACCCCTCTCTCCCATGCCAACTCTCGGGGCAATTGCTCCCTGGCATCTCTTTATAGTTTTATCCCTCAGTATGTGTCCCCGAACGATATGGATTCATCTTCCCTGTCGTTGAACTTTGTATAATCAGAGTGATGCTGTGTATTCTCGCGACCTGCTTCTTTCACGCCAAGTTACGTTTTGTAAGATCTGTCCAGTTGCTGGTGTGGCTATAGTTTGTGTATTTTCGTTGCTAAAGAGCTGGGATCAGAAACAGCAATGCTGGGAGGCTAAATCCAGCCCCGCTGCCTTTTGGTATGGCCTGCGAGATAGGAGTGGGTTTTTTTTTTCCCCTATGTTTTTAATGGTTGGAAGAAAATCAAGAGGAGAATATTTCACAACACGTGAAAATGATACAATATTCACATTTCAGTGTCCATAAATAAAGTTTTATTGGAACACAGCCATACTCATTCATTCGCAGACCATCTAGGACTGCTGTCAGCCTCCATCGGCAGAGTTGAGCAGTTGCGAGGGCGACCATATGGCCCGCAAAGCGGAAAATATTTACTACCTGGCCCTTTACAGAGCACGTTTGTCAGCCCCTGCTGTGGAGTGTCCCACTAAAGGAATATATTGCAATTTCTTTAGCTATGATCGACATTTCGGGCGCTCGACGTCTGTGGCTGTGAGCACTCCTGGGTGGCCCCCAGGCCCATGTTGTTCAGTGCCTCTGGGAGCACATGTCCCCATGGAGGCTGCTTCTTCCCAAGCTGTCTGCCCCCCGCCCCGGGCAGACTGTGAGCTTCAGGGGGCGGGAAACTTGTGCACTTTCTTGGTTCGAATCCTTGACTCCTAGCACGGAGCCTGGCACCCAGGGGATGCCCAGCAGATACCAAAGAGAGTGGGCTGGATTCAGCTCCTCAGCCACAGGCAACCCCAGGAGGAGTTCCAAGAGGGCGGGGTGGAGATGTGACGCCACCGGGAGAGGCACGTGGGTCCAGGGGTGCGAGGTGGGTCCGTCTGCTATGGCGGGGGGCCTGGGCCTCAGGCTCCTCTCGGCAAGGGCGGAGCAGCGAGACCCTCATGTCTTGGGAATGAGAGTGTGGATCCAGGAGTGCTGCGTCCACATGGGCCCCAACACCTGAGATCTGACCCTTGTTGTGGATCTAGAGGCTGCAGTGGGAGTACAGGCCTCGGGTGCTGGGGTGGGGGCTGGAAGCCGAGGAAGGGAAGGGGGTGACCTGAGGCTGGAGAGGGGGAGGGGAAAGGAGTGGGTGTGAAATTGGCAGGGGGAGCTCCTGGCCCCCTGGGGAGGACAGTCTGGCCAGCCTGGGATTGAGCTGTGGGAGACTTGGCCAAGTCACCTGACCACTCAGCCCCCACCTCCCTGTCAGGGCACTTGGCACCCTCCAGTGCAGGCCTCGGGAGCAGGAAGGCACATCCAGGGCCACCTGTGGCCCTGGGACCTGGCACCTGGGACCCCTCAGGGTGGGCCCGTGGGGCCTCAACCACGGGGACGGGGTGCCTGCAAGGGGAGGTGTGGTGAAGCTGGGGTGTACCTGCTCCCCCCACCCCAGGACTGCATGGGCTGTGGAGAAGAAAGTACAATGAGAAGCCAGAGCCCCCTTGGGGCTCAGGGCCGGATCTTGCCTGCCGCCGGTGGGCTAGGGGAAGGGGGCGCCACGCGAGCACAACCCCAGGCAAGGCAGGCTAGCTTCTCTCAGTCAGCAGGGGTGGGGTATTGCCTACAGCCCTGGCTACAGGGTCCACAGCACATTTCTGAAGGCCACTTGGCAACTCATATCAAAATTTAAAAATTTAAAAGGATCCCTGCCCTTTGAAGATTTATGTATTTATTTGAGAGAGACAGAGTGTGTGTGCCCTCCAGCAGGGGAAGGGGCAGAGGGAGAGAGAGAACCTCAAGCAGACTCCCTGCTGAGCGAAGAGCCCCACCCGGGGGCCCGATCTCGCCACCCTGACATCATGACCTGAGCCAAAACCAAGAGTCGATGCTTAACCGACGGGGTCACCCAAGCGCCCCCTGGGGTACCTGCCCTTTGAATCACTAACTCCCCTTTTTTGGACCGGACAACCTTTATATACCAGGACGATCCCTCGTGGGCCCATGGAGCACAGCAGCAGACTGTCTCACGGCCATCAGCTGCGGTGGGTTTAGATAAGACCCTCTCCCGCCCCCTGGCCCTGAGCAACCCTTGCCTCTTGGCTCCTGCCTCCCGCTCCCACAGCCCACTTTCCAGCCATGCTGGATGACTGCCCCTAAGCCTTTGCTCCTATCGCCCCCTCTTCCTGGAAGGGGTCCTCTCACTTGCCCACCTGGTGATTCCAACCTGTTGGTCAAGGTCAAACTCGGCAACCTTCTCTGTGGTGCCCACTCTCCCACGCCCCCGACAAACCCAATGGCCAGCCCTGCCCTGCCAGGGTGTTCCCCTATGGTTCTGAGCATCAGGCGCTCAGAGGTACAAAGGGCATGACAGCGGCAGCTGAGGGTGCCGACAGCACTGGGAACAGGTACCCAACCTTAAGAGGTGGGCTCTGTGCGAAAAGCCAGAGAAAGGGCAGAGAGAGAAGGTGCTGGCTGGGGAGCTCTGGGGGGAGGAGGAAGGGTCGAAGAGGGAGGTACCTGCAGGTGAGGGTCAAGGCCAGAAGCATCGGGAGCCACAGCTCCGCCTCCAGGATGTTTGCTGACCGCCTCTTGCCGTGGGAGGGGAGGAGGCTGACTACAGGGACAGGGCTGGCCATTGGGCTGGGGAGGATGGAGGGCAGTGAGTGATTTTGTGCCTGAAGGGTGCCGGATCTTCGGGGAGATAGAGATTTAAGAGAAGTCAGGATAAAAGTGATGTGAGGAAGGCCTCTACAGGAAGGAGTTAGTGTGTTGACAGCCAGACGCATTTAGAAGGAGGCTGGAGGGGGAAGGGTCCCAAGCCCTCAGAACGAATCACTAATGCGAGGTTTTAGGCAGCTGAAGACTGAAACTCTGTAGTATTTCTCTTTTCTTCCTTCCGTCCTTCCGTCCTTCCGTCTTTCTTTCTTTTTTCTTTCTTTCTTTCTTTCTTTCTTT